GTTTTCAAAAGGCACGATGCTGTGCCAAGATACTCAAAACCATATGCCTGTTAATTGGGATAAGTAAGGATATTTTTGCTCACTGGCCCAGTACCGACATAAACAAAGCTCTAATTCCCTCTGTCATTGTAGGGGACAGAGTTTATCCTTACCGACCCTTTGTTCTCAAGCTTTTCTCTAGCAACTCTGAGAAGGGATTAGAATAGCTATCCCCATGAGAAGTGACAAAATATTATTGGAACGCGTTTCTGGGAAGCTAAAGGATGAGTTATTGATGATTTCTCAGTCTCTGCCTTCTGGATGACCAGTTCAAGGTGCCATTTTGCTCTGCAATATATATGTCCAAATAGGGCATTGTATTTGCTTTCACGATCTGTAGAAGGAAGCATTAAGTACTCCAAACCAGTGTAATATTTACAGCAACCTAAAAGTCCTGAGAAGCAGAAGAGCTCCCTTTAGCTTGAGGCAAATCCACAAAGTCTGTCTCGGTTCTCAAGATATCCAAGTAACACTGCACAGATTAAATGAAGATCTTGATTCTGCCTTATAGAAAATCATAATACTCATTAGTCTGTTCTCTAAAAACAGCATAACATTGGTTAGTTGGTAGGCATTTTTCCTAAGAGCATAGTACTATAAGTAAAAATTTGTTACGATAAAGATATTAAAAAATGTTTTTCCTGAAAAGAAGGAACAATAAGACAACCAACGTAATCTTTTCCAATCAATGGTTTATTTTACTGCCTGTAATAACAACCAACATTTCACCTGAAATATTATTATAACATACAGCTCTGGGACGCAGCAGGCCTTGGGAAAGTGAAGGACAGGAACTGAACAACTCAGTACCAAAGTGAAATAAGTGAGCAGATAGAAGGATAGGCATAAACTACTGCGATTCAAGGTAAAAAAAGAATTCTATTGAGGCCTTTTAGCACCATCACTACAGACATAATATTCCTTACATTTAATGGTCACAACCAGGGATTACTTACCACCCATGAAGGAAAACACAGAGCAGAACAAAATCTCACTGGCTAGCTTTATGTCATTTGCTCACTACTATTCCTCCCTCCTTAAATCACCTAATACCAAAAATGCTGGACTGAATCTACCTCAGCAGCGATACAATACAAACATCATTAAAGAGGTAACGATATTCATAGTCTTCAGCTTAGTACTTATCTGCAGAAACAAAACTTGCTTATAAGCACACGAAGAAAACGTTATGATTTATCCCTGGGCTAAGAAACATGCTAAGACCTAAAAATGCTAAGATAAAAAAAGAGAGTCAGTGTATCTTAAGATCACTTATATGTTCAGATAGTAACACGTAGGAGTTTGAGTCTTTCTTGAGTAGGTGGAAGTCATCTACTGTTCATGTTTGCCAAGTAATCAAAATACAAGAAACCGATATTGAACCTCTCACCACTTCCTTGTGCCATTGTTTGCAAGGCCAGGGAGCATCAAGCAGTGATCCCCAAAAACTTCTCTTAGTGACTGCAAAGCCAGCCCAAATCTAACTACAGAACAACAGACTGAAGTAGAGGAATAACACCACGGATTATAGCATATGGTAGAAAGGATGATAGTCAAGAGCTGTAGCTTGTTCCCCTTGGCTATCTGTTCTCACTCTAGAGCAGGCAGAATCTCTCCTCTTCCAGCACAATTACTGCCAGTACCTCCTGCTACCAGTTAGTTATTCCAGTGCAACATTTGTGTGAATGTTTTACAACTCTTATTTAATCATTCACTAGCATCTTCTTTGAAGCTGTAGGTAATCGCTCACCTGTCCAATTAATGCAGTGTATAATACACAAGGGAAATTAAACTTCTGAGGTGTTTTGTTTTTATTTTCAATTTATTTTTTGGCTGTAAACACTAATTCAAATCATAATATTATTTTTAAAAATTTTAGTATGCTATACCTCTGTTAAATGGGTTAGATTCCAAGAGAATCATTTTACTGTTTTAAAAATCACAGATACCATCATGCAGCTGTTAAAGAAAACAGCCTGCTCTGGTTTACTGGTACTGGCTAAGTTCAGAGACACCAAGCTTCCTTCCCAGTTAAGGATCAGATGCATACTTTCTCCTTGGCTCTTAAGTTTTCAGGGGTACTGACCATCATCACCACGTGTCTCACAAAACTTCGGGCTCACATCCACCATCATATGCTAGATCTAGGCTAACACAACTTCATGCAGTCACTGGTTTATAACACAGTGTTGATGCCTGCAAGTTTAAATAGGCCATGCAGGCTGTCCTAGTGTCAGGCACAGTCGGGTACATTATTAGCCTTACATGAGAGCTCCCTCTCTCAACAAACGACAGTGTTGTGCTACACAAAACTGACTGGACTCAATGCAGTGGCTTCTAAATGAACACTAAACATAACATAAGGAAATATACAATTTATAACTATTTTGCCAATATTTTTCCTAATTTGTTAACTAAAAACACAAGTTAGAAAAGATAAACAATCTGTCTTAAAAAAAAAAAAAACAAATCAAGATATATACTTGAAGGACCAACATCCTTTATCCACATACGCTGAAATAATATTTCTCAAAGGCGTTCAGAACACTAAACCAATGAAAATCAAAAGAGAATACAGATGGTAAGGAAGGTGCAATGCTCATGAGCTACCCCTGAACACTGGCATACAGTTGATAATCAAATATCACATAGGTCTACATATTAATTGTTACCTGATCCTCTGAATAACTATCATGGATTTTTCTAATAGCAAAGTACATACTTAGTCAGACTCACACAACAAAAAAGAACAATTCACCTGTCTGCTGGGTGGTTGAATAAGACACTGGATACCATTCCTATTCAAATGTTCATTTATCAATTATGCATACAACAGAAGAAAGGTGAAACAGACATTTAGAATTTGATTACTGTTGTGTCCTACTGTTGTAACTTGGTCACAAAATCCCCTGTTATGCTTCACTCTGAAAGAATAAGTTCTAGAAATTCAAATAGATTTGTTATGGTGGGTTACTGGATCTTACACTTGAACATACTGCAAAACACACCATAACCAGCATAACGTGGCTAATGTCTGAGTTCCATTAGTACATTTCAAAAGATACTGCACCAGTTTAGAAACCTTCGGAGGCAAGAGTGACAATTACATTGTTTTTGTAAGGCTGCATCCATCAGCTGCTTACAGATGGCACATGCTTCCAGAAACATACGTAGTAAGAGGGACTAAGTTCTCAACTTGCACTCAAACCTACTGGCCCAAGCCTATAGATTAGCATTTAATTAATAAAGCATATAATATCTTTAATTATCTGATCTCATCTCATTGGATAGGTTACCTGGGACAGCACTTATGATATGCTCTCTCTCTGAACTATGAACCAAGCTGAAATGAAAAGCAAATAAATACACTACCTCAAAACTGTCATCTACCCAAGACACCTTGAAAGAAGGTGTTATCAGAAAGTTTCTCTACCTAAATACCCGTGCCCTACTCATCTCACACTTCCATAGGATGCCACCGAAGCAGAAAAGTCTCTTCAAATCATGGTCACTGTCTTTGCTTGATTTTAAGAAGGGAAAGAGTTGTTCCTGGTTCCCTCAGCTGCCTAAAGTTTTTCTAAAATTAAACAGGATGTGACAAATTAGGACAGCAAAAGTGTAAGACAGTGTAGCCAGAGGTTAAAGCTGGAAATTTCTCACAACCAAGTCAACAATACGCAGCACCTCACATGTTAAAATTATTATTTTAATTAGAATTATATTTTAGTTTTGATACAAACTTTTGACACTTCGATAAACAGCAAAGGTTTAGCAGGGCAAAAGGAGCCTTAAAACCTTCACCACTCTCCTAACCTCAGCCAGCCAGCTAAGGATTATTTATAAATAATCAAATGCCAAGAATAAATATTAGCTTTGGAACAATCGTTTCATTAACTGCACACACAGACAAAACAACACCTACACCAGCAAGAATACATACACAAATAAGCAGTGACCAGAAATGTAAGCATTAAGTCAGTGTTTCTTAAACTAAGCATAGAATAACAGTAGGTAAAGGAAAGCAGATTTAGAAGTCACTTGTGGATGCCTAAGTCACCTGAACCTTGATTAGTACATGACACAGAGAAATGTGCAACATTTCAATCACTGAACAGCAAAAGATTATTTTTAGAGTTGGTGGCTATTATAAATTTAAATAATCGTTTGATGTAGGATTTACAATGAGTAGCTGCATATATTTTTATGCCTTAGCCTCATGTCTTTTAACTTACTCTATGGGTTCTTGTCTTTTGTGTCTTGATGATGTAGCTTCCCAGTATGATGAAATGGAATAAGCAAGCATAGAATAGAACTAGTTTTTATTTCTTTAACACTCAAGGTATTCCAAAGCACGAGGAAAAAATAATGAATTGTGTACCAATTCTGCAATGACAATAGGTAAAACATAAAAGTGATTACACGTTCAACAGCAGCACTCAGACACTTTAAGGGAATAAACTGATAGACCAGTATTTTGTATTTCTGATACTTGAGCTCAATGCCAAAAAAGACAACTTGCAGACTAGACCTCAAATCCTTTCCGTTTGGCTTCTCTGTAATGTTTTTGCAGCTGTTTTGGGCAGGTGGCTAAAAAAGGTAATCACCAGGCAGAGATCAGAGCAATTAGAGAGAGAGATAGATGCACAGTACAGTGCAGTGACAGTCAGACCAACAGCCCTGCTTTAAGTCCCACCAAGGGGACTTAGCAATTTGGAAGCACTTCACAATCTATTATCAACATTACCTATTCCCTGAGATTTGGTCATTCTGACGATGTCAAAATGTGAACCTTTTCATTTTAAGTTGGTTAATCAAGACACAGGACATCCTACGCTTTTAACTCTAGAACTTTTAGTACTCTACAAGAACCTGTTTTTCAGATCACGTTCTGCTTTGGCAATTGCAGGCAAAGTATTCGCAGATGGGCCAATATCAGATACAGAAAGAAGAGCTGAACTCACCCAATTGCTGATGCAGCTCCCCAGCCACACAGCACTCCTCAGCAAGCAGCCCAAGCGATGCTCTCCCTTCAGCGGCTGGCCCTCATATGAGCTCTGGGGGGCCCCACTGTGACTCATACAATAGAATCATAGAGTCATAGAGTCCAGCCCTTCTGGTCACCTGGGGAGCACAGGTGCAAGCAATCTGCCTGAGCTCCCTGGGCAGCCCTGACCCCTTCACCAGGTGCCTCAATCACCAGTTTAAGCCATCACCTAACAATTACCATCCAGATCGTCTTTTCCCTATGATTTTTTTGAGTTTCTACTTTTTTTCTTGTATCTTTTTGTATATTCCTGCATTTCAGAATTAAGTAATACATTCAGATTTTCTCTCTGTGCAAGGCTGCATCATTGCTATTTGATAAAAGCCTACTGCTTTTATCCCTTTTAGTTACACTACTCTTTACCTTAGGTGCATGATGAAAACAGATCCCCAAACCACTGCCATTATCTCAGAACTGTGTCACTATGCTTTGCAAGAAAACACCTCAGGGATGAAGCTAATGAGACCCAAAGCCCAGCTGAGCAAAGGCAGAATGTGTTGTGGCCAGCATGGAAACGTGTAAATCCTAAGTGGCTAGTTGGCCAGAACCTACGTGTATAATTCTAGATGACTGATAGAATTTTCTGGGTTTCAGAACACAAGCGTTTCTGAGACAACAACCTTCTGTCAAATGCTTTTGCAGCTAGTCAAAAGATTCAAGAGCTTTTTAGTGCTGACACAAAGGAACTAATGGCAAACACGCTCAGAGAGAACTGCCACCGAAGACCTATTTCCTTATGAATGAAGACTAAAACCTCTCTTTTGTTTCAGCTTTTTGAATACAAATGGTGACTGCACCCTACGATCCAACTTCATGAATTTGGCAATGGAGACTTGTGCGAGGATTTAAACTGACCAGAATCTCATTCAAATCAGCACAGGGCTGAGATTCAGTTTTAAGTGATGTAGCTTGGAATAAGATTCACCTCATAACTGAAATTTTTGGCTTTTACTCCCCATGCTTAATTGCTCCTCCTCAGTTGACCCTGAAGATGAAGTTTCATGGTCATTCAACCTCACAAACTCTGGACTGTGATGAGACCTCTTTTTCCAGTTGTTGCACATTATTTATTCTAATGTCATATCGATTTTCTTCTTCTTTCTGTTTTATCTTGGCCACAATAATTCCATTTGCCCAGTGAAAGGTTATGTCTTTGCATAGGCCTCTTTTAGTATTTTTCTACAAGACCACATAGCTTCAACAGCTCTGTTCTTCACTGCTCCTTCTAAATGGATTCTGCTGTCATACACACACATCACCTGGACAGCCCTGAATCTGCTGTTCTCCCAGACAGCACCCCAGTCCAGGGTCCAGCATGGCATTCACCAGCCAGATGTGGGAAGGGCAAGAGCAACGGTTTGCTATTGCTAAGCTGATGATTCCTAGGCCATAACCCGGCAGCTGCTGGGTAGCAGTCAGGATTTAAGAGAATTATAATTACCATTAAAGAAACAACTACCATGACTGGACTCCCTTACTACATTGTCACAGACTAAGGGCTAAATAGCTCTTAGACCATGGAAAATAGCTTCATTTCTAGATTAGTTGTTTGGAGGTTATGTTATATCCATCTAAGAAAATAATTTCACAAAGCTGTAAGAGCTACAAAGAGTCCAGATGAAGCACATTTTCATCACACTATGAGATCATCTTCATTTCCATAAAGAGAAGTTTAACTTAATCATTCAAGGGTAAAGTAATGGCTAATCTAACATTCGCAGCATTAGGATGCATTAGCAAGGACTTATATATGTTTCCTGGTTTTATTAAGTTTTATTACCTGACCGTGTTAAAGTTTGAAAACCAGTAATTTTAGTGATCTACAATAAGTAATGAAATGAGAAGAAAATCATGTTAAAACAACATGAAAAAGGAGAGTCATTCTTAACTGCAGAGCATAGGAAGCTGCAAGCAAAACTCCCATTAGCAGTAAATATAGCAGATGAAGATTATTCCCACATATTTGCAAACGCAGACTCAATTGTATTTCCTTGCATTAAGAAGTTATTTTCTACTCCTCACCATCTTGGGCTTATCTGTTGTTGATCACTCTCATCACTTTAATGCCATTCTCAAAAGCCTTACTTTAAATCTCAAATCTTTCACATATACAAGTCTGCAGACAGTGTGAATCACAATGGATAGTTCACAGATAGAAGAGTATTTAGAGACGTGTCCTGCACCAAATCATTAAGCAGGCTGCTCTCCAGTGCCAACCGGTGAGTTGCTTCAGAAGGCTGAACAGAAGCTCTTCAACTAGAGAAATTCTGAGGTGCACAAAAAATTCACTGTTTCAAACTCTATTACGTTCAGCTAAAAGAAAAATGGAAACATTAAGGTCACTTCCTGCAAGAATAATCGTATGCCTCAAGACTCAGAAAAAGAGACTCTTTCTAATGTTTACCTCCCACTGACTGCAATGCCTGCAGCTTATTAGAACTGGCCAGTCTCACTCTCTAAGACAAAACAAGTATTACGGACCATTTCCATTTTTTTTTTTTTAATTTCTGTGATACCAACAGCGTTGTACATATTCTCCAACAACAAAGTTACAAGCCAAAATCCAGGGGGACCATTTTCACACGTCTGAATGACATGAAAGTCCTTCCAGTAGATAATACTACAAACTTATTAATGAGGAAAAGAACTTAGTGGTCACAAAGCAAGAGAAGATTACATCACAGGGGAAAATAAGAAAGATGAAAGGTATGCTTTCTGGAGCTACGGCTGATATAGGCGTGTTCTGCTGTCTCACAGTGATTCAGAGGTCCCTAGAGTAAGGAAAAATATAAGTAAGTTCAGCATTTGTCAATTCTGATGGAAAGTGGAGAATCTGGTATTTTTGGGGTGTACTACACCCAGAACTTCATTAACAGGAGGGAACAAGAATGTCCCATGCAGCTGACTTCAATACCAAGTGACTGATCGCAGTCAAACAGAATTAGCAGCTTGACATCACATACATAGTTATTCACTTGAAGGCAATGTATTATTCTTATCTTCTTGCTTTGATTTTATCTTACATTGACATCACAGAAAGAAGAAACATTTCTGATATTTAAAACCCTAATTCCTGGGAGTTTCCCAATACGTTTTATAGTCTTCACTTAGCTCAGATACTTTTGAGTGTATCTTTTAGCAGCAGACTGAAACAATGGTTTTCCAGTCTGCCTTTGCTTTTCCTTTTTTTTTAAATGTACAGTCACGCTAAGTGCATATTATTTAACTTCACTTTTCATAAAGAATGGGAATCACCCTGCTAGAAGCCAGCATATCTACACAAATTAAATTCCAATTGCAAGTAAGAATCTGTTGAGCTTGGTTCCATGCATGCCTGCCAAAGAGCGGTGACTTTTATACAAAATGAATTGCTCAACAAAACCACGATCAGTAAACAGTCATTTCAGATCTGACTCCTGACAAGTATTTTTACTGACAGCAGAGGAGGACAGAAGAAGTCCCTGTGCTTCATCAAAAGCCATCAGCCACTATATGATGTTTCAGACAATTAGTTATCAGGTAACGTTTATTCTAATTTACAGCATTTCATTACTACAGAAACATTCTGACAGTTTACTTGTGGGCAACTGAGGTTAATATTTTCTGAACACAAAAACTAAGTTTACTCTTTGATTTTCTTTGTATTCATTGACACATGTCTTTCAGTGTAATTCCTAGGGTTTTTATGTAATACTTAACCAAAAATCCCTGATTAGCTGGAATGCTCCTGAGATTTCAGAATGAATAATGTGAGAACAAGTTTTACTCGGTTTGTTTTCAAACTCCTTTTTGAAAATTCAAACAACGGATTTAATGAAAATGCAGATTCCTCTCCAAAAATCCTCATTGTCCTTATTGCCAACTTACCCTATGCATATCAATTGTTGAAAAATCAACGTTCGCCAGGAAAAAATACTTGGCAGCTGAATTAGTCACACAGTAACAAAATTGATGGAATTTAATATTAATTTTCAATACATACAGTATTCTCGGATTCTCATTTGAGTTTGTTAGCTTTGCCTGCAGATAGCCATAAAGAAAAATAAAACCATTATTCTAGAGACTACAGCAGTCTGAGTAAGCACAGCCCAAGACTACCCATGTCAAACAGCTTGCAAACAAGGTTTTCAAGTCAAGTTATTGCTAGGAATCCAAGAACACTCAGGTTTTTTGTGCTTCATGAAATGCTTCAGAAAATGTGAACGTGGCTCACATGATCCATCCTACAATTACTGTGCTGCTTCAGATATGCAGCTGAAATTTAAAAAAGAACAAGGCTTGTACCATAAACAAACTGTAGCTTAGATGTTATGAAAGATGACACAAACAGATACAGGATAATTTCCTCACCTGATACAAAGAGCAGGGTCCACGTGCCCCCACCACACATAAGTATCTCTCCCAAGGAGAACTTGCATAAGAACTTATCTAGCTATCGTCCCTCCTCAGTTCTCCTCCAAGACACAAAGATGCTTCCTACAGCAGCTCCACGGCCTTGATTCTCTTCAACCTTTTTCTCAGTGACCTGGATAATACATCCTCAGCAACTTTGTCGACGACACGAAACCCTGGTGACTGCCTGGGTGGATGAGAGGCCAAGCGGAGGGATCTAGGTAGATTGGAGCACTGGGCAGTCAGCAACAGCTTGAAGTTCAACAAAGCAAAACGCTGAGAGCTGCACCCAGAATAGAGCAATGCCAGACACAGACACAGCCTGGGAAAGGAGTGGCTGGAGAACAGCAGGAGGGGACCTGGAGGTGCCTGCAGTGTCCCTGGCAGCCAACAGGGCAATTAAGCATTGCATGGGCTGCCTGCAAGAAGAGGAGATTCTTGTAACTTTTGCTTAGCCCTAAAGTGGTTTGGCAGTTGGGCTTGATGACCTATGAAGGTGCCCTCTAAATGAACTCTTTTGTTCTGTTCTACCTCCTGAAAAATAGCTTCCAGTGTGTGCACCTCCAAACAGCAGGCGTCTACAACATGAGTAAATCTGTGATGTTTCTCCTCAGTGCTTAGAATCCAAAGAAAATTGAACAAACTCTTTCATGTTATGACACAAAGATCGTTGCTG